GGGCATTAAATTTGTCATTTGTTGATTGAAAATCCACATACCTCAAGGAAAATATCTAATTTAAGCGTGAAAGTAAAGTTGTGTTTTTGTGGGTTTTTTTTTGTTTTTGTTTTTTCCCTCAAGCCTTTGTACTTTTTTTTATAGAGAGATATTTTTGTGACTAATTATTGCAAATGCATTTATACACTGTAAACATCTGGGATAAAAGTTTCACTAAAAAATGTGGCAGTTTTTTCTGTGCAACTTTACACCATCTCATGAGATTACACCACGGGTGTAAACTCACGACATTGGTGTAAAGTTACACCAAGAAAGGAGGCAGCTGTGGTGCCACCTTTCATGGTGTAACCTTCTAAACCTTTCATGGTGTAACCTTCCAAGTACAAGTGTTACTTTTGTGCTTTATCTGTGTTACCTTCATCTTTACCTGTGTTACCTTCATCCTTTATCAGTGTTACCTTCATCCTTTCCTGGTGTTAGTGTTACGTTCATCATTTTCCAGTGTTACCTTCAACCTTTGCTGGTGTTACCTTCATCCTTTATCAGTGTTACCTTCATCCTTTATCAGTGTTACCTTCATCCTTTAATGGTGTAACCTTCATCCTTTATCAGTGTTACCTTCATCCTTTATCAGTGTTACCTTCATCCTTTAATGGTGTAACTTTCATCCTTTATCAGTGTTACCTTCATCTTTACCTGTGTTACCTTGATCCTTTATCAGTGTTACCTTGATCCTTTATCAGTGTTCCCTTCATCCTTTATCAGTGTTACCTTGATCCTTTATCAGTGTTCCCTTCATCCTTTATAAGTGTTAACTTCATCCTTCACTGGTGTTACCTTCATCCTTTGATAATGTTACCTTCATCCTTTCCTGGTGTTACCTTCATCCTTTATCAGTGTAACGTTCATCATTTTCCAGTGTTACCTTCATCCTTTGCTGGTGTTACCTTCATCCTTTATCAGTGTTACCTTTATCCTTTATCAGTGTTACCTTAATCCTTTATCAGTGTTACCTTCATCCTTTATCAGTGTTACCTTCATCCTTTCCTGGCGTTACCTTCATCCTTTATCAGTGTTACCTTCATCCTTTATCAGTGTTACCTTTACCCTTTACTGGTGTTACCTTCATCCTTTATCAGTGTTACCTTCATCCTTTCCTGGTGTTACCTTCATCCTTTATCAGTGTTACCTTCATCCTTTCCTGGTGTTACCTTCATCCGTTATCAGTGTTACCTTTATCCTTAATCAGTGTTACGTAAACTCCAACTAGGGTAACCTTAATTATAATAAGTGTAAGCTTCATGCTTTATCAATTTTTTTATGTCGGGTCATCTCTATTTGGGGTATACATGTTTGCGGTGGTTAATTTTTACGCTTGTGTATGAACGAGTACTACAGTATTCAGACAGATATGAAAAAAGTTTTGCAGGTATTTAATTTTGTGCTACCTTTAACAGCCACAAATAGAGCGAAATCAAATCCTCTGTGAATATTACCAACTCCACAATATATTAAAACCTCTTCCATCTAAACACAACAAAATTGTAATAAGTCATCTGTCTCAAATCCTTCTGGTCTTTATTTCTAGGGTGCAAAACATTCCTTTTACAATGTTCAGTAACTAATGTTACTTTCTGCATCATCCAAAGAAATAAACTGTTGTCACGTGTATACCAATACATATAATTGAGAATAAGATAAAAGCTCAATGGTCATCATCAAAAATGTATCAACCTGCTCTTGCCGAGGTAAAAATAAGAAAATAATGTAAAAAGGTCAAATTAATCGCAACAAGCTCAAGTGTCACCAGTAAATTTGATACCTTATAGTTGACAAGAAAGTTAAGTATTTAACTTACCAGTGACACTTGAGCTTGTTGGAATTAATTTTATCTTTATATATTTCATTAATCACCTTGTATACCTTTGGTATCCATGCTGAAGTGCAGTGCCCCACTGAAGAACCCACCTACCATGAAAATAATGACTCTATTCCTGTTTAATCTAAGAAAATAATGTCTGGGATATCAATATTTGTAATCCAATATGTTTGAACATAAAGTGGTGGTATTCCAGAATTTTCAAATGTACATTTAAATAGAATTTACCAAAATTAAAGTTTATCCACTACAGCGTAAATGAAAATTAGCGTGCTTTTCAAACTGTCCACACTTATGACCATTTCATTCTGTCCCAAGAAATGAAAATTGGTCAAACACGACCTGAAGCCATGTCTTGTTTTCAGATTCTTGTGGGTTCTGACAATGCACAGCAGTATTCAAACCAAGAGTTTTCTTGTAAGGACAAGAACAAACATCTTCCACTTAACAGTTGAAAAACTACAGTTCTGAAAAGATATTCCTGAAAACAGGACACCCTAGATTCTAATTCTCCTAATTTCATTGTGAAGGAGTGAAATTATGAAATTTAAATGGTACAAAACTACGTATACATTCATAGGAACACTGACAAACAATTAAGCATCATTAAAGCAGGGCGATCATAGTCATGTATGTACACTATTCAATAAATGCATAAAATAAGGGAAAGCAGTACTACAAAAAGTTTACCATACATCAAATTATGCATCAATGAATGCACATGCAGTGCAGTTTGATAAGGAACCAAGGAAGTCTCAATTTTGGTAGTGCCCACCAAATTTCATTTTAGAAACCTGAATTTTCAAATTGATATACAATACCTCTTTCCTTTTGGAATTATACTGATTGCCCTTACTTTCAAATAAGGATATGCCAATTTCAAATAGTTTATATTACGTAGCAATGCCCAAATAATTGGACACATACACTGGTAGCCATTGTCGGACACCACAGGTCATTGAATCCTACAGCCAGGTGTTAAAAAACAACACCTATGCCAAGTACTGTCACAGACAGGAAACCCAAGAATTTACAAAGATCATGCATCACTAGACTCTGGACATACCAATCTCGTCTGTCGACTTCGGGAAGTCAAAACATCTTATGGCTAGCGTAAAGTGCGCGGGTTTTCATCTTCTTATTCGCACAAACGCTTTAAAAGCATCTGAGTGACCCGGTTTTTGCAGCTGGAGCACTGTTCATTAAGCGATCAGAACGATTCGTTCAGACATGCATCTATGCACTGAAAGCATATGGCTTAACTGATGATGGTGACTATTGCAAATACAGATTTCATTCGACCACAAACCATTGGACATGTCCACATTTCATGAACCCGGGTTTTACAGGCATTCAAAGTGAGACTACGTATACTGTACCCAAAATGAAACGCTACCCAATATTTTATCTTGCAATACGGAGGGCCACAACGTTGTTCGACGGAAATAGACCTACATTAAAAGTTAACTGCAGTTTACTGATGGTGTGGGAATAACTAACATGTTTAAGGGAGGATTTGATTCTGTGTCCGAGTGTCCCTGACGGTGTAAAGTTACACCAGAGATATTTCTGCTTAAGCTTTCATTGAATATGGTGTTAAATTGTACCCTGAGTGTAATTTTATATTTAGATATAATGTTGAGAATGCCGTAAAATAATAATAATGAAAACCCCGTCAAAATCCGTCGCCCCAGTGTCGAGTTATTGAAGTTCAAAGTTGTCGATTTTCACCTGTCCGCTCAGACCTTATCAGCATAATCGTCATTTCCGCGGAATCGAGGCGCTTCTACTCGTGACGTCATAAGTTGAACAGAAATGGCAGCCAACATGACTGACAGTGACAACGAAACCGCACGTGATAACGATTTGAACATGAGTTTTGAGGAGTCTGATTATGGCGTGGATGATATGTCTGAAAACGGAATCCAGCCCTACCGATTTGAACCGGAATTACAAGACGATGTATCCATTTAGTCGAACTCTTTTCGGCGGAGTCCGATCCATTGCTTTCTTTACACTATACCGAATTGGAAATGAAGAATCCATTGTTTTTATAAATCTGGCCTATTTAATGGGAAGGCATGCATCGACACCCCAGTCTTGTTAGTCAACTTAGTGTTAGGAGGTCCCGGGAATTTTCGTACCGAAGAATTTTCGTCCCGGGTATTTTCGTCCTGAGAATTTTCGTACTACTATTATATAGTAGTGCTGTAGAGATGACATCTAAACTCATAATCACACCTCTGTGGCTTGAAAAACCAATAGTTACGCGTGTGAGGCGACACGCCTGTCGGCTAACAACAGACGCGTACCAGTAGTTGGGTAAAAACCAGTCAAACCATTGTATAAACTTCTAAAACATCAAAATTTTATTATCATCACAGCGGAGGGTGTTGACACCTTATCTCTATATATCCATAGTGCCACGAAAATTCCCCTCGGACGAAAAATCTTCGGTACGAAAATTCCCGACACCGTGTTAGGACAACCTGACGTCACAGGTTTGGATGCCCGAAAACGGTGTGTTCCCTTTACGCCAACTTTCTTAAAAACACATATGGCAGTTGGTGTTGTTTTCACCGTTTAAGTCAACAAAATTGGGGTACCTCATGGGGGCTCTGGGGAATAGCTACTGTGGAGTAGTTACCTGTGACTTGATAATATTTAGCCATAAATGGGGATATTTTCAGATTTTGAATTGAGAATTAAATTGAAATGTTAGGAAAAAAGAAGATTTTTTTGAATGCTATATTATTTAAATTTAAGGAGAAAAAAGAATTATTTGAAATTTATATTGTTCAATAAAAAAAAGAATTATTTGAAAATTGTATTATTTAACAATAAAAGAAACATTATTACTTATCACACTGAACACTCCAAGCCAACTGCACTCTGTATAAATACAGTGACTGCATCGTACTTTATATTCATACTTTCACACCATTTATTGTTATATTTAGTTGTTTTAACTACTGTAGCACAGATTATAACTGATGATGAGAAGTCCAAGCTGATAACCTGAAACTTATCACCCTGAACACTCCAAGCCAACTGCACTCGGTATAAATACAGCGACTGCATCATAATTTATATTCATAGTGAAACACTCATATCAAGTAACATGGCAAACGCACAGCTGAATTTGAAGTTCGTAATTAACAAGAAAGGAGGCCAGAATTTAGCCTATAATGGTTTCATCTACAGAATCATACGCAGAAATGGTGAAAAATCTTGTCGAGGATCCCTCTCTGCCCTTAACAACATACCAGTTGGTTTTGGAAGACAGAAACACAATCATCCAGCAGATCATGCAGAAGTTGTAGCACAGCAGATCAGAAACAGCATCACCAAGAGATGACTTGAAGAAGTCAGACCCATACCAGCAATATACGAAGGAGAACTCCGCAAGCTCCGAGATGAAGAATGGGATGAAGACTGCAAAGCGGTGGTACAGCGACTGCCTACCTTCAATACAGCCAAGTCGTCACTCTACAGAGCCCGCCGAAAGGAAACCCCAGCGCTACCAAAGACTCTTTCTGACATCAGACTGGAAGGGAAGTGGACAGAAACATCAACCGGAGACAGATTTCTTCTTTTTGACGACGGAGACCAGCAGAACCGAATTATAGCCTTCGCCACTACGGAGAACCTACGATATCTCTCAACTGCCGACACATTCTACTGTGATGGAACATTTTACACGTGCCCGAGCTTGTTTAATCAGATCTACAGCATCCATGTGGTTATTGATGGAAGGATGACGCCAGTCGTATTTGCGCTACTACCAGGAAAGAGTCAAAGAATCTACACTCGACTGTTTACCCTATTCAAGGAACACATGACTCAACTGTACATGCCTTTCGCCCCAACCCATGCATTCGCCGACTTTGAAGTAGCAGTACACAACGCCATTCGCCAGACATTCCCAGGAATCACCATGAAAGGCTGTTTTTTCCATTTCACCCAGAGTGTATGGAAAAAAGCACAGACAACTGGACTGCAAACTCTATACCGGGACAACGAAGATGTTAGGACCCTTATCCGCTGTACAGCTGTTCTACCACTGGTACCCATGGACTGCATAGAAGACGTATGGTTACAAACACTAGAAGATCTAGAAGACGCTGAAGTACCACAGAACACAACACCTTTCACAGACTATGTTACTGAGCAGTGGGTGGAAGTTCACAGACCGTTGTGGAATCACTTCCAAACAGATGGACCACGAACAACAAACAACCTAGAAGCCTGGCACTGGAAACTAAAGAAGAAGGTGAAACACGCTCATCCGAATATATTTGCCATCATACAGACATTCAAGGAAATAGACAATGCCGACGTCATCAACAGAATGCAGAGAGGGATATCATGTGGGTAATATACGATTAGATGGTCTATCAGCTCCTATTTGATGATTATTTGGTATATCGGATATCTACGATACCATTTGTAAACAAACAAGGGGTCTCCCTCAGACCGAGAGCAATTGCCTGCTTGTTATTTTAGTGTGTGGTTGGTGGTGCGTCAGTATGTTCTTTTTGTCATTATTTTTTACTCATGAATGCTCTTACTTTCTACAACTTTCTTTTTTGATGTTTTCCTCAACTCTATATCTTATCTTGTATCTCTGCTTTCTCTTTCCTCTGCCTGGGATGTTAACTAACTATAGAAAAAAGGTAAAGTCTAAGTGCATACCAGGTATAAATGGCCTTCATAGTTGCAATAATAGTATATCTTATACTCAATACTTACCTTTGACTCGGGTTATTTTATGTATGAAACTAGATAACATTGGTAGGCTATATTATGATCAATTTTACCCAGGCCCAAGTTATATTTGCTTATTATTGGCTCAGAATTATGGATGTTTTTATAGTACACACAGTTGTTAAGTCTAATGCATTAGACCAATACAGATAATATGGAATCTATTGGTATATTAGCAGCTAACTGTCAAGGCTTGGGTGATCATAACAAAAGAAAAGATGTTTTCTCATTTTTACGAAATAAAAAATTTAATATTTATTGCATTCAAGAAACACACTTTACTACTGAAATGGAAAATTCTGTAAGGTCTGAATGGGGTTATGAATGTTTTTTTAGCTCTTACAGATCAAACTCAAGAGGGGTGGCAGTATTAATTAATAATAATTTTGAGATGAAGGTAATTAAAGAGAAGAAGGATAATAGTGGAAATTTTTTAGCATTAGATATGCTAATAGAGGGTAAAAATGTGACTTTGATAAATTTATATGGTCCAAATACAGATAGTCCACATTTTTATGAACAGGTAGTTGATGTTGTGAATGAGTTTAATCATGAATTCCTTATTATATTTGGGGACTTCAATCTCGTACTTAATCCTGACATAGACTATGACAATTCTTATAGACAAGTAAATAATCCAAAAGCTAGGGACAAAGTAATAGAGATGATGAACGAAATAGGGTTAATAGATATATACAGAGATCAACACGAAGACTCTAGAAGATATACTTGGAGAAGAAGTAATCTAAGGAAACAAGCTCGACTAGATTTTTTCCTTATTTCCGAAAACATGCTGCCCAGTATTCAGAAATCAAGCATAGACCCTGGTTATAGATCTGACCATTCAATACCTACAATATCTTTTAAGTTTAATGATTTCAAAAAAGGAAAAGGACTATGGAAGTTTAATAATTCTTTACTTCGTGATATAGACTTTCTGCAAATAATCAACAAACACATTACTGATATCAAGAAGCAGTATGCACTACCTATATACAACCTAGATGCTATTCAGACAATACCAAACAGTGATATTCAATTTACCATCAATGATCAACTTTTCTTAGAGACACTGCTGCTTGAAATTCGAGGAAAAACCATATCATTCTCTGCATATAAGAAAAAACTTCAAAACCAGACAGAAAACAAACTAATAAAAACAATAGAAACCCTAGAATCTAGTGATAACATAGATTATACATTATTAGATTCTAAAAAAGAAGAATTAAGAAAAATTAGACAGCATAAACTAAAAGGAAGTGTTATTAGATCTAAGGCAAAATGGATAGAGGAAGGAGAAAAACCATCAAAGTATTTTTTGAACCTTGAGAATAGAAATTTTACTTCAAAGATAATTCCTCAGATAGAAAAAGAGAATGGAGAAATTGTAAGGAAACAAGAAGATATTTTAAATGAAACAAAGCTTTTTTATGAAAAACTTTATGCAGGTGATATTTGTAATGTTCATGATATGAATTTACAAGACTTAAGTGAAATGAATATTCCAAAACTTAATCAATTTGAATCACAAAGTCTAGAAGGTTTACTAACTATTAGTGAGGCTTCTCAAACATTGAAGAAAATGAAAAATAATAAGAGTCCAGGCTCTGATGGTTTCTCTGTAGAATTTTTTAAATGTTTTTGGAAAGAACTGGGTGATTTTGCTGTTCGATCAATTAATTATGGTTTCTTCAATAAAAAAACTTTCTGTAACCCAACGCCGAGGAATTATCACTTGTTTACCAAAAGGAAATAAACCTAGACATGTTATAAAAAATTGGAGACCAATTTCACTGCTAAATGTAACATATAAGATAGCATCAGGCTCAATCGCAAATAGAATTAAAACAGTCCTAAATAAATTAATAGATTTAGATCAGTCTGGTTTCATTGAAGGTCGATATATAGGAGAAAACATCAGGCTCATTTATGATACAATGCAATTTGCAGAAGAAAATGATATACCGGGTCTTCTATTAGTTGTTGATTTTGAAAAAGCATTTGATTCGGTTGATTGGAAATTTATTGACAAAGTACTTGACTTTTTTGAGTTTGTTGAAGATATTAGGAATTGGATAAAACTTTTTCTTACTCAACCATGTTCTTATATTAATCAAGGGGGGAATTTGTCAACATTTTTTGAGATTAAAAGAGGGTGTAGACAAGGGGATCCAGTTTCCCCTTACCTATTCATTTTATGTGCAGAAATCTTAGCGATAAGATTGAGAAATAATGAGAATATAAAAGGTATTCAAATAGAGAATACACCTATTCTTTTATCACAGTATGCAGATGACACCACTATCATTTTAGACGGTTCCAAGAAGTCGCTAAAAGAAACCTTACGTGAATTAAATGATTTTGCTAAAATATCCGGTTTGAAAATAAATGCCAGTAAAACCCAAGTTATCTGGATTGGAAGTAAAAAATATAGTCAGGAAGTCTTTTACCCTGAACTCAATCTACAATGGGGAGACCATAAGTTTACCCTATTAGGTATTGATTTCCATGTTGATCTACACAGAATACCAAAACTGAATTTCGATAAAAAAAACTTGTGAAACTTAAGGCAATTATCAAAAGCTGGAGTAGGAGAGCCTTGACTCCATTTGGGAAAATACATGTTATGAAATCGCTTTTAATTTCACAATGCAATAATCTTTTTATATCAATACCAAATCCAAATGAAAGCTTCCTAAAATGCATTACCACTGAAATATACCATTTTTTGTGGAACAGCAGAAGGGATAAAGTGAAAAGGGAGGTAATTACAAAACAATATGAAGAAGGAGGACTTAAGATGTCAAATCTGGAAAGTTTTGTCAGATCTCTGAAGCTAACATGGGTAAGAAGACTATTAACACAAAGTGGAAAATGACATATTTTGTTAAATACAAACATTGATATAACTATGTTAATGAGTTAAGGACCACAATTTATAAATGAATACCTCAAAATATGTAAAAATCAGTTTTGGAAAGATGTCTTTAAAGCTCACATAGAACTTAGCCGGACAGAAGAACTTTTCTCAAATAAGACAACATCAATATTAAAAACACCACTTTGGCATAACAATAAGATAAGAGTGGGGGACAAGACGCTTTTTTATAAGAAATGGTACTCCAAAGGGGTTATGATAATTAATGATTTGATAAAGGATATTAATTCAGGAGTCTTCTATAGTTTTCAGGAATTTGTAACCAGATATGGCGTGCCAACTAATTTTTTAGAATATCAGGGGGTAATTCATATTGTTAAAAAGCTTATTTCTGACACAGATATTACCAATCATCCAGTTGTATACCCATATTTACCAAAGGCTTTTGAGATTTACTTTAAAAATAAAAAAGGATCAAAAGATTTTTATCTTTTATTATGTCACAACAATACATTGCCTACAGGTAAACAAAAATGGAACACCATGTTTGAATACAGTGGCGAAAAATGGAAACAAATATACAAATTGCCTTTTAAAGTAACAAAAAATACCAAATTACACTGGTTACAGTATAGGATAAATCAGCATATTTTAACTACTAACACTTACCTATCAAAAATAGGGATAGAAAATAGTTCTTCCTGTTTCCAGTGTGGAACAGAACCAGAAACAATTATTCTTGCCATATGGGAATGTGAAAAAGTACAAAGATTTTTACAGAATTTTGAATATCTTGTGGACAGTCTTTCAATACCTTTTGCATATAATAAAGAATCCTTTTTATTTGGAATATTGAATAGGAACAATATCAATTTTGTAGTGGACAACACAATAATATTGATAATGAAACAGTACATCTATAGCTCTAGATGTTTAAAAACGGAATTATCTATTCGTGGTCTCAAGAATCAAATTAAGGAAACATATTGTGTCCAGAAATTCATAGCTACTGGAAAAGGGAATCTGGTACTGGATGAGTTTAAAAAAGTATGAAGGAAATGGGAAAAGTTAATTGAGATAACTTAGCATCATAAATTTGTGTTTCTAGGATGTGGTTATACATTCCCAGGCAGCTCCCTCTTAATCTCTCTCTCTCTCTCTCTCTCTCTCTCTCTCTCTCTCTCTCTGAGATATATTCCTTTTATGTAGTTATGTGTATTTGTTCTGTGTTTTTTGAGTGGGTGAAGTATGAATGATAATAACATGTAAGAATGTTTGTATAGGTGTAGTATAGGTAAAGAATGAGTGAATATGTATACATAGTGGAAAAATGAGTGAACACATCCTTCAGGGGAGTTTGTATAGGTGTATGATATATATATGAAGAATTAGTGAAAATGTAGTGTATGAAATATAAGTGAATCAATCTTTTATGAGTGTTTTTGTTATATAAATGAGGTGCAGGTGAAATATGAGTGAATGTAGTATAGGTGAAGGATGACTGAATATATCCTATATAATTAATATACCAGTTGGGAGTGTTGTATAGATGAAGTGAAGGTGATGTATGAATGTAGGTGTATGATGAGTGACTGAAAGAAGAAAAGCTGAATGGGATATAAAATATAAATGAGAAAGTGTGGTATGTTTATTGTCTTGCAATGTATCCTGTTTGAAGAAAAAAATAAAAAGTTACAAAAAAAAAAAAAAAAAAACAGAATGCAGAGAGAAGC